AGTTAAAGTGGTGTCAAACTGGATTATTTCGGCAGTGTGGATGCAGCCTTAAGTAGCCCTGGGCAAGGTCTTTATTAGAGTACCTGTGTTGGATTTTTCAATTGTTCATGTCCTGGTTTTCAAAGGTTTTGATAGTGCTTAAAAGTATTGCTGCTTTGATACGGTCGCTTATTGGTTTGTTTTAAACTCTTTTATTTGTATTTTTTTAAAGTCAGCTACCTCCTTTTCATCCATGTTGTAAACTGCCTTGGGTCCCATTTGGGAGAGCGGCAGGTTATATATTAAGAAAGAAATCTCTACCAAGAATTCTGGATTGCTTTCCAACCCTTTAAAGCCGCCAAGCTCTGGCCTCCATGAAAAGAGGACAACCTAGCTATCCAGAATACAGCTTTTTCTTCTCAGCCTCTGTATTGTTGCCCAAAAAAGCACCATTTGAAAAGCACGTACGTCATTCTTTCACCTGATAAAACCTGGCCTCTTCTGCTGTTTGTGCCCATGCAAAGGGAAAAAGAAGAAGAGGCCCTCCAAACGTATGCTTCTGAGATGCTTTTGTCTCTTTATCACAATCTAGTGGGAGGTATGTGTGCGTCTGTTTTTTGGGGGAAAAAAATCCTTCCTGTATAGAGGCATTATAAATTCCTGCGTATTTTATCTACCCCTGGAAGGATCTTTCCTTTGGGGGATTAAATCCAATTTAGTTTAGCATAGATCGGGGATAAGCCCACAGGCAAACTTTGCAACACTAGGGCTTCCCTTCCTGCTAAGTTCTCTCCCAACTCTTCTTGTCTAGATCCAAAAAAGAGCTGCCCTTATACTTGGGCACTTCTTGACAGCCATTCTCTAGCCTTAGCTGCAGCCAAGGTACATTGCAGCTATCCTCTTGTTCCTTCTCCTTAACAGATTTGTGTGCGAGAGTGAAGAAATGTGTTGTCGCTGGGTGCCTTCAAGTCGTTTCTGACTCACCACGGGGTTTTCTTGGCAAGTTTCTTCAGAGGGGCTTTGCCCTTGCCATCCTCTGAGGCCGAGAGGGTGTGACTTGCCCAAGGTCACCCCGTGGGTTGAGCGGGGATTCAAACCCTGGTCTCCAGAGTCATAGTCCAACACTCTGACCACTACACCACACTGCTTAACTGATAGAGAAATGGTGGAGACACATGGGAGGGTGATAAATGGAAGACAATTGTGCCCCCGCATGCCCACCCACTGTCACATTCCATGATCAAGGGCAACGCAATTCGGGTTGCCAGACTGAAGACTGGAGAGGGCTCCTGTCCCTTTAATGGTTGCGTAGAAGAATGGCTGTTGAGTTGGAAACAACTAGACAATCACGTCAAAGGGGAAGCCTTTACCTTTACCTTAGAAGAAGGATTGTCGGCAGGTGTGGCTTGTTACCTGGTTGCTTGGCAAACAACACCTGTTAGCATGCCTGCTTCTCCACCACCATGAAACGGGCGGGCGCCTGCTCCAGTTTTCACACTGGCAACCCTAAAGACAATGGCACCATAAGCCGCCTCTGGAAGCTCCCTGCTGCTCTCAGGTGTGCTGGAATATAAATCCCATCCTCCTCAGCCATGGTACCCATGTCAAGGACACCATACCTGGGAATGGCTGTTTCTGAGCTAGAGCTGGCCCTACCATTAGGAAGCCTGGGGCAACCAACTCAGGTGGTAGATGCCCAGAGTGGGCCAAAGTGGCACAACCAACCTCCTTGCCCCACAATTCCACCTCAGTCCCTCTGCCATTCCTCTCTCGCGGCAGAGGGCCCTATCCCATTGCCAGTGTTGAAGCCAGCTTCAATTGCCTGTCTACATGGCTTCTGGATATGAACCAGAAGAAGATGCCATCTTGTCCTTTGCCTCAGGCAGCAAGCGTCTTGGGTGAGCCACATTCTGAGGTATCATTTAGGAAAGGATGGCTCAGAAAGATGACTGTTTTGGACTACAGATCCCAGAATCCCCCTGCCACCATGGATATCGACTGTGTTGGCTGGGGAATACTGGGACCTATAGTCTAGAAAAAGCAACGTCTCCAAGCTCTGGTATGGTTTTCCCTTGTCTTCCAGGCCTCTTCTGTTTCTAGCCAGCTCACCAGATTGTCACACTGAATATTTTTGCTTTAAGAAGTTGTTTTTGTTCAAGAGGAACCCATCATCGTCACCAGTTGGAATCATCAGATAACTGAAGTTTTTTTTAATCTATTAATCACCTCTAAACCAACTGATTGCTTAATTAAATAAATTGAAAGGAATCTGAATATTATCAAAATGCAATAAACGCCACAGAGAGGTGCCTTTCTGAGACAGTGCTGAGCCGAAGGCTGCAGTCCTCTCCGCATTTACACGGGACCCAAGCAAGCTGAGGCCCGTGAGGTTTACGTGTGAGTAATCATGCCTCCGATTGAACTGTACAACAATTTACAATGCAATAATCCAAACCCACCCCCTTTTCCTAGTATGAAAGCCCATGTTTTCATTTTAATTCCTTCTCACAGAAATGCACCAGTTCCCAAAGAAAGTGGTGTGCCCACCCGCTCAGTTCCATCTGTTAATATTTTTGCACAGATCAATGAATCAACTACCACTTTA